GACAGCCCCGGTGTGCGACGCGGCCGTGCGCCCGGGGGTCCTCCCTCGTGGGCGTGATCCGTATCCCCTGGCTGGCCAGCGCCGCCGGCTTCCCTCCGTGCGCTCCCCGGGCATCTATGCCGCACTGAGTCGGGGGTTCAGCGCCTTGGCCTGCCCGTCGGCTGTGGCTCTCCACGGGCCGCCAGCGTTCTCTGCGTGTTCTCGCCGCAGCCCCTTGCCGGAGACGGCTTTCTCCCCTCTGGATCAGGTTGTCGCTTTCTCGGTGGTGTTCTTTGAAGCACATTTAAAAAGTTGTTTTGGCGAGTTTCAGTGTCTCCACTTTGCCTTTTGTCACTTGTGCTTCTGCTGTCGTGTCTCAGTCACCGCCCCGCAGCCGTGTGACTTCGGGAAGGGGCTGTCCGGCCTCTGCGGGTCCCCTGAGCACGGCTGCCCGGCTGGAGGCCTGAGGCATGAAGCCGGTGGGCCAGAGTCCTCGAAAGTCCTCCGAGAGTTGGGGGGCCTAGTGATTCCTGCGCTGGGAAGCTGCACTGCGAGGCGCTGCACCCGCCAGCTGGGGGGAGCGCTGGTCCCATGCCGACGTGCCTCTGAGCGCCCCAGCTCCCCCCCGCCCCCCGCCGTGGCCTCTACCGAGTTGGCCCTGGTCACCCCTCCCGGGTCTGGTTACCTGCAGGTGCCAGATCTGGCAGCGTCTGTGGAAAAGAGTCGGGCCTGCCCGAGCCCGGAAGCCCCTGGGGTCAGAGAAGCAGGGTTCCCTCCTTCCCGCGTCCTGGGCTGGCGGCCGAGGGCGGCCCTGTGGGGGAGCCCCCGGCCCGGGCCGCGCTCAGTGCAGCTACGCAGCTGCTTGAGCCCAGCTCGCGGGCTTCTGACTCCCCTCGTTACGGTCATCACGTAATGGCGCTGACCGCTGAGATAGCGCACCCTGTGCTGGGCGCTGCATGCGCTGTCTGTCTCCCCCAACCCCAGAAAGCAGCTGTTACCCAGTGGGTAGAGGATGGGCAAGTCCTGTGCCCAGGGCCGCACCGTTCTGCCCTGGTGGAGCCGAGGTCCGGACCCGGGTCCGTTGGGCGCGAGATGAGTAAGACGCCATGCCTCTTGGGAATGTTCTGGCCGTCACACTCAAAGGGAATCGGGGAGGCCCTCCCTGTGGCACAGCAGTTAAAGCGCAGCACCGTGGAGCTGTCCGCAGCCTCCGCAGCACGAGTTCGCTCCCCGGCCAGGGGGGGACCCCCAGGGCGCAGCGGACCTCTCCGGTCTCCCCGCTGCTCCCCTCTGCCTGTTCTGCCGCCCACTCTGTCCCCGGTGACTCTCCTCACCCCCGTACCTCTGGCCTGCACCCCAGTTCTTGTGTGCATAAATAAATAAATCTTTTTTAAAAAGGAGACTGGTGAGGAAACAATCCTGTACGGAACACACGAGACCTCGTCTGCTCAAGCCACCGTCGCGTCACCCTGTCACTGACACGGTCTCGTGCTGTCTCACCTTCTTGTGTCTTTGCTGGTTATTGCTTCACTTTCGCGTCTGGACCGGGACTGAGCGCGTCTCGTGCCTCCCCCAGCCACCCAGTCCCCTCTCCCCGGCCCCTGCCGCAGCGGCTGGTGGCTTCTGCCAGGCGGTGAGGGCCTAGACCCGTGCTCTGGTCGCTGAGGCCCGGGGCTGCACCCGGTCCCCGGCGGGGCGAGAGGCCGGGGCTGCACCCGGTCCCCGGCGGGGCGGAGAGGCCGGGGCTGCACCCGGTCCCCGGCGGGGCGAGAGGCCGGGGCTGCACCCGGTCCCCGGCGGGGCGGAGAGGCCGGGGCTGCACCCGGTCCCCGGCGGGGCGGAGAGGCCGGGGCTGCACCCGGTCCCCGGCGGGGCGAGAGGCCGGGGCTGCACCCGGTCCCCGGCGGGGCGAGAGGCCGGGGCTGCACCCGGTCCCCGGCGGGGCGAGAGGCCGGGGCTGCACCCGGTCCCCGGCGGGGCGGGAGGCCGGGGCTGCACCCGGTCCCCGGCGGGGCGGGAGGCCGGGGCTGCACCCGGTCCCCGGCGGGGCGAGAGGCCTGTCTTCACGGGCTTCACGGTCCTCATTCAACCGCAGCCAGAGTCGCAGCGGAGGGAGTTTGCCGAGAAGTTGGAGACGCTGCTGCACCGGGCCTACCACCTGCAGGAGGAGTTCGGGTCCACCTTCCCCTCCGACAGCATGCTGCTGGACCTCGGTGAGCTGGACGCAGCGGCGGCAGTGCGGGATGGGTGTGGTGGGGAGGCGGAGGGGCCTGGGTGTGACCCTCAGTGTGTCAGGCAAGGAGGCCCCCCCGGGCCAGTGCCGTATTGCACGGGTCGGGAAACAGGCCGAGAGGGGTACAGGGCACGGAGGTGTTCCCTGACCCGTGCGGGCGAGTGGCCAGGCCCTGGGAGGCGCGGGCATGCTGGCCAGCAGGCCCTGGCCTCGGGCGCCGGCATCTCCTGGTGGCCGCCCCAGGCTTGGCTCCTCCCTGCGGGCCCTGGGCCTGGACGAGCCCAGGCAGCCCCGGGCCAGCCCCCCTGGGCGCAGCGGAGTGGCTCGGCCCGTCCATCCGTGTTCCGCTGCTGCCCGTGCGCCCTCCCTGTGTAGTGACTGTGACCCTGGCTCTGGGGCCGTCAGCCCCGAGGGGGCCTTTGGCTCCTGAGGGCCAGATCCCCAACTCCACTGTGGGACACAGGCCTGGAGAGGCCTGGCCAGGGTGCAGAGCTTCCCCCAGGGCTCGCCCTACTTTGCCCGTGGGGTGACCTGTTCCCACGTGTGGAGAAGGCAGGGGTCCGCTCGGGGCTGTGGCCTCTGCGCGTCAGTTCCACAGACCTTTCCTGAGCACTCACGACCCACAGCCCTTGCGCCTTGGGGGCCTGAGCGTGGGCTCGGGAATGCCGAGACAGCAGCCCCTGCCTCCCTGGAGTCCGGGGAGCCCCTTCCCTGGCCCCGCGGCCCCGCGGGCCCCTCTGCGAGCTCTCCGTGCGGCTGGCGGCGCGGCCGGGCGAGGAGCGCTCTCAGCTGCCTGCTGTCCCCACGGCGAGTGCCGCCTCCCAGCACGAGGCCGGAGGAGGTCTCCATCTGAGGGGGAGCCCGGGCCCACATGCTCAGTTCGTGGGAGCATCTCTGCCCCGGACCTGGGGGTGCGCGTGGACTCCGTGAGGCCAGGCGGAGCCTCAGCCTGTCCGTCCCCTCTCTTGCCCCCAGAACGGACGCTCATGCTGCCCCTGACGGAAGGCTCTCTGCGCCTCCAGGCAGAGGATGAGGACAGTCTGACCTCGGAGGATTCCTTCTTCTCCGCCACGGAGGTGACTGGGTGACTGGCCGGGCAGGCGGGGGTGGGGCGCGCTGGGCCTGAGGGTGCGGCTGGGCCGTGGGAACAGTGAAGGCATTTCCGCTGGCGGGAGCAGCATTTGATGGTCCCAAGCGCGGCTCCCTCGGGATTGCAGGCAGCTGCCAGGGCGGGGGGCCAAGAGCCAGGGTCGTGCGAGGGTCGCGTGGGTGAGGACGGGTCCTGCCGCCCGGGGCTGCACCAACGCGGCCTCTCCCTTCTCCAGGCCACGTGCCCACGCCGGAGCCGGGAGGGGCTGGGCGCAGTGGGTGTCCGGCGGGTGGTTCCTTCAGGAAGGGCCCTGGGACGTGGAGACGCAGGCCAGACCCAGAGTTGAGCCCAGGCCTCCTGCCTCTCGGGTCACTGTTCCCTCTGAGGCCCAGGGGGCTCCCCACAGGGGTGCCTTCTCCCCTGAGATGCCGCTCACCTCCTCTCCCTCTCCCCCTCACCCCAGCTGTTTGAGTCCCTGCATGTGGGAGATTACCCGATCCCCCTCTCCAGGCCTGCCGCTGCCTACGAGGAGGCCTTGCAGCTGGTGAAGGAGGGGAGAGTGCTGTGCCGCACCCCCAGGTGAGCGCCGAGGTGGGCCAGGCTTACGGCCAGGCTGCGGGGGGCTGGCGGTGGCCTAGGGCCCCCGTTGCAACACGGCGGGTCTGGAGTTGACAGTACCAGTGACTGGTGGACGCAGGTCGTTGATGAAGGTAGTCGGGGCCCGTCCTGGAGTCTCAGGGGGGCCTGTCCCCTAGCCCGCGTCCCACACAGCCCTTCGGGTGGCGTCCAGAAGCCAGCTTGGCATCGACCCCGGGGTTCTCTCCAGGTGGCCCTGACTTGTAGTCTGTGGCCCTGACCAAGGCCGGGCTTTTCCCAGCCTCAGTTTTCTCACCTGTAGTAGACTTGGGGCTCGTTCTGTTAGGGGTGGAGTCCACAGGCTGCAGAGTCCTTTTAGGTCATCAAGTCCACCCTGGGCTACCCTGCAGCAGCTCCACCTCAGGTTCATTGTTCCACGTAGTGGAGGGGTCGGAGCTCGGCTTTGGGTGGTGGCCACGCACTGGCGTGCGGGCGCTGAGTGGCTGCCTGAGAAGGTGTGGAAGGCCTGGTGGGGTCACGGTCACCCGGTGAAGGGCCGCCAGGCCAGGTTGGGAGGCACCGCTGTCCTGCGCCCTGTCCGCGGGCGTGATTTGGCCACGTCTGGCCTTCCCTGAGCAGTGGGGCTCTCGGGGCCTGTGAGGGACCCGAGGCCAGCCCACTCCGCAGTGACCAGACCTGCCAGCTCTGTTCCGTGTCATAGAGGCCGACCCGCCTTTGCCAGCACCCATCGGCCTCGGGGAGGCTGGGGCCCGGTCACACTGCCGGGCGGAGCAGGGCCGCCCCAGGCTCCCCCGTGGCCCGGGGGGCCGGCGCGGGGCTGGTGGCGCGACTGACTGTTCTTCCCTCAGGACAGAGCTGCTGGGCTGCTACAGTGACCAGGACTTCCTGGCCAAGCTGCACTGCGTGCGGCAGGCCTTCGAGGTGGGTGTGGGGGCCTGGGTGCTCGGGCGCAGGCCGGCCTGCGGCCGCCCCCGGGCTTTGGTGGGCGCCCTGCACTCAGTGGCCCCCTCCCGCTCCCGCAGGGCCTTCTGGAGGACGGGAGCAACCAGCTCTTCTTCGGGGAGGTCGGCCGGCAGATGGTGGCAGGCCTGATGACCAAGGCTGAGAAGGTAGCCGGGGCGGGCGCCCTCGGGTCCGCGCTTGAACTCGTGTAGGTCTGGTAACGCGGACAGGGGCGATCCAGACCCCAGCTGAGGGCTCGGCCTCCGCCCGGGGCGCGGGGCCCTGAGAACGGGTTGGGGGTTTCCCTCCACAAACAGTGGACCGGCCGTGCCCTTCCTGGTGACGACAGTGGACGTGCCTTACGGAAGCCAGCGATGAGCCCATGCGGGTCTCACACGGCCCCGCGCCTGCCTACGCAGGACACCGCTGCCCGCGTCTGATTTATGTCCCTCTGGCTCGGCCGGCGCCGGCCCGGGCCGCTGTCCGTGTCCAGGCCTGTGCACCCGCCCGCTGGGCGCTCGCTTCCCGTGCGGGAGCACGTCCTGCCCTTCCTCCGGGTCTCTGGGCGCCGCTTCTCTTGCCGCCGTGGGGTGTCCCCCCGGGGGCTGCCGCGGGCCATCCAGCTTGCCTCTGGCCGGACGTGGCATGTCTGCTTGGCGCCGTCCAGCACCGACGCTGGAATCCGGCCCCTGCGGCGTGGGCGCCCGTGCGGGTTGCTGGGTGGCCAGCCCCTGTCCCCGCGCCTCTCGCCTCCGATGAGGACGTCCTGGCGTCCAGCCATCTTGGGCGAATGTCACAGGTGTGACCCCACACACCTGGAAGGTGCGACCTCCTGCACACCTGGCCACCGGGGCCAGCCCGGGGCCCACTGTCGAAAGACGCGGTCACCGCTGACCACGCGGCACGACTGTGCGGGTCCCACAGAGGCTGGCCGACCCTGCCCGCGCGCGAGGGCTCCGGTGGCTTCTGTCTCCCTGACGCTGAGGCGGCTGCCGGGAGGGCCCTGATCGCCGGCCACGGCCCACGTGTCCTCCCAGGGGCTGGGCCAAGCTCTGTGTCCCGGGCCAGAGCGCACCCCTGACTGCACCCCTGACTGCACCCCTGACTGCACCCCGGCTGCTCGTGCGAAGGCCCCGCATGGTCCGGGCGCCGCTGTCACCTTGGCCTCCCGGCCCGGAAGGGCTCGCCCCGGTGCCCCAGACTTCCTCCACGCCTGTGGCGCCATCCCACAATTCTTGTGAACGGCGTCAGGGCAAAACAGTCGCAGGCCACACGCGTCACCTTGGCCAGTGACGGGCGGTGCCCCAGGCGCGTCCTCACACGCGTCCTGCCAGTCTGGACTGTCGCCCTGTCGTTAAGGTCCGGGAGGACTCACGGGGTCTCGAGACTTAGTGGCCCACGAGCTACGCCTGGACCCCGCCCTCCCTCAGCCACCTGTCTTCGAGGCCCAGCGGCCATGTCTTTCTCAGGAGGGCCTCACCTGGCTTGTCCCTGGGCTGACCCTGCCCAGCGTGAGCTTTGCGCCCGCCTGCTGTTTGTGGGGCGCCCTGCCCCCCTGCCTCAGGGACCCGGCAGAGGCCGGCCGTAGGCAGCCCGGGCCTCCGTCCACGTCACCCGGGCTCGTTCTCCGCAGCTGCTGTTTACCGAGCGGCCGTCCCAGGGCTGCTGCCGTGTCCACGCAGACCGAGCCGGGTCTGCCTGGCCGCTGCGCACGGGACGAGCGGGGCCGGGTTGGGGCCCTGCTGCAGCCAGAGAGTGGAGGCTGCCTGGGTGCCAGCTTAGCCTCGCCCGCAGGCAAGCGCTGTGGTCACGCAGGGGGGACTTAGGTTTCCTTTTCATTAGGAAGCTCAGCAGAGGCCCTGGGGGCCGGTCGGCGCATCCCGAGCGCCGGCTGGGGCTGCCGTGTGTGCTCGGCCAGGCTGGACGGGGTGGGGCAGGCGCCGTCTGAACTTTGTCCTTTGGTAATTTTGGCGCCGCCCTGTGGGCAGCGCCCAGCCTCTGCAGCAGGGAGTCAGGCTACACCCTGTGCGTCCGTGGGGTGGCCGTGAAGCCCGTCGGGCCTCGGTCTCGTGTGTAAGCGGGTGACCCGTGTACCCGCGGCCAGGAGACGTGTCCGCCAGGCCAGCTGCGTCCTCTCCAGCATCCTTTACATATGAGGACACACGGGAACAGCTCGGGGTCATCGTGCGCACAGTCTCCAGCGCCTGCCAGAGCCCACGTGCCTCTCCCGGGCCAGGGGCCACTGTCAGGCGCTCCGGTGGGGCGCATGGGGGTGGACGGCACCCCCTGCCTCTTGGCTCAGGGCCGGTGCTCAGGCCTAGGCCGCACCCCCGTCTACCCGTGGGCCAGCTGGCCCCGCGGGTCTCGACTGACGGCCTGGGCGCCTCTCCCGTGACAGGAGGACCGTGCTTCTCCCCACAGAGCCCCAAAGGCTTCCTGGAGAGCTACGAGGAGATGCTGAGCTACGCGCTGCGGCCCGAGACCTGGGCCACCACTCGGCTGGAGCTGGAGGGCCGCGGGGTGCGTTGCGGGTGCTGAGCCCCAGCCTGGGTCCGTCATGCCCAGAACCTGCAGCAGGGAGGGGTGCCCCTCCAAGCTCCCCTTCATTCCAGGGGTCTGTGATGGCTCCATTGCTGCTACAGCCCTGCCCAGGCCCCCCTCCCCCCGGCCTCTGGACAGCAGCCCAGCCGCTCCGGGGCCCTGGCCTCAGAGCACCCCCACCCCGCAGGTGGTGTGTATGAGCTTCTTCGACATCGTGCTGGACTTCATCCTCATGGACGCCTTCGAGGACCTGGAGAACCCGCCGTCCTCGGTGCTGGCCGTCCTGAGGAATCGCTGGCTGTCCGACAGCTTCAAGGAGACGGTGGGTGGACGGCCCCACCCCCAAGCGCACACCCTTTCCCCCCCCCATCTGAGATCTGGGGCTGCAGCCCAAGCGGACCAGGCATCTGTGCCCCGGAGAAGTTTCCAGGTGGTCACCCCGTCTCTTACAGGCGGTAACCATGGACCCCACAACCCGAGTGGGTGGGTGCCGGGTCATGGCCATTTTACGAAGGACTGGGACCCAGAGAGGAGCGGCTGGTCCAGGGGCCTGTGGCCAGCGGGGGTTCGTCAAGCTTCAGATTTCAGGGTGTCACGTCCCTAACGGGCAGGGAAACGGCAGCAGCCTGGCACCAAGCCCATCTGCCCGCTGGGTTCGGGGAGAGCTGGCTGCCGTGGGCGGGGAGCGGCTGCGGCCTGCCCTTTCCTTGACCCCCGGTGTCTGGTTTAGGCCCTGGCCACGGCTTGCTGGTCGGTGTTAAAAGCTAAGAGGAGGCTGCTGATGGTGAGTGACCTCCACCCGGAGGCCGGGGGTGGCACCCAGCCATCCCCTGCCAGGCAGGGGACCCTGATAGGGGAGCAGGTGGGCGGTGGCCCCAGCCCTGTGCCCAGTTGGCTTCATCACCATGTCGCCACGCGGCCTGCCCGGCGCTTCCCTTGACTGGGCACACCTCGGAGGCCTTGGGGATCCACTTTACTCCCTCCCCAGGCCCAGCGGAGTAGGCTTTAGGAGATGTCGCCGATCTCGGAGCAGGGGAAAGGGCATCTGAAGCGGGCGGGCCCCTGCCAAGGCGTGGGGCTGGCTGGGAGGAGCCCGGGGAGGGGGGAGCCAGGCTGAGCAGAGCCGCCTCCCCCCGCCTGCTCCTCGCTGCACTCCCAGGGCCGCCAGCTGCACTGTCTGGGTGTGGCCCTTTGCCCTGCTGCCAGCCAGGCCCTGCTGCCCGGCTGATACCAGCTGCCTGGGCCGTGCGCTCCAAGCACTCCCAGGGGCCCCTCATCTGGTTCTCATCGTAGCCCCGAGATCACCCCCTTGTGCGAAGACTGGAGCTTCAGAAACTCCCACCACAGGCCCGGCATACCCAGTGGGAGCCCAGCTCCTAACGGGACCCCTGGACCTGGCTGCCGTGCCCTGCACCGGGCACTCAGCCTGGCTGCCCCCCCCCCAGGTGCCCGATGGCTTCATCTCCCACTTCTACTCCGTATCGGAGCACGTTAGCCCCGTCCTGGCCTTCGGCTTCCTCGGACCCAAGCCCCAGCTCGCAGAAGTCTGTGCTTTCTTCAAGGTAAATGGGGAGCAGTGTCCACTGCTCTCCCTGGGATGGGGCCCCGGGAGGCCAGAGAGGAGCGAGGGCCGGGGCCGGAGCCCGCAAGGGGCTGGACGCAGGAGGCTGGCGCGGGTCTGGAGGACACGGCGGGGAGGCGGCTCCGGCCCCGGCCCACGCCCGCCGTCCCCAGCACCAGATTGTGCAGTACCTGAGGGACATGTTCGACCTGGACAACGTGCGCTACACGTCGGTGCCCGCGCTGGCGGAGGACATCCTGCAGCTGTCCCGGCGCCGCAGCGACATCCTCCTCGGCTACCTGGGGGCGCCGGCCGCCAGCAGCGTCGGCCTGAACGGGGCGCTGCCCCGCGGGAACGGGCCCCTGGAGGAGCTGCCGTAGAGGCCGTGAGGCCGGAGGGCGACGGCAGAGAGCCGCCTCCCCGCCTTCGGGGTGGCATCGGAGGCCTGGGTGGCCGAGCCCAGACCATGGTGGCTGTGGGCCGTTGCTTCCGACCTCGCCCCCTTTCTCGGGGCCCATCTGACTGCCCTTGGCTGTCTGGACCGGTGCCCTGAGGGCGAGGGCGAGATGGCAAGGAGGGCAGGTGGGGGAAGGTATCCGGAGGAGACTTGAGACAGCAAAGGTGGACGCCCTGGCTGTGGGCCCGAACCTCCCCGAGCCCAGGGCCACCAGCAGGTGGGGCTGGAGGTGGAAGCGAAAGACTGGGATGAGCAGGACGCCCGTGGGGTCATAGGTGCCCTGAGCTAGCAGGGTCCAGGCATCCGCCCGCCAGTCCTGACGCCCCTAGGACCCCCGTAGAGTTTCTGACTGGGGTGGGGTGAGGGGGTCTCCAGGTGAGGCTAGTGAGCGACTGGGTGGGTGCAGGCCTGGACCGGCCGGAGGTAGGACAGAGGTAGACCTGCTGGTTCCCGACGGGCAGGGACTGCGTGTCTGGCACCCCCAAGCCCGCACCTGGACACGTCCTCTCACCCCCCACCCCCGGCCCACGGAGACTCTCACTTCCCTTCCCACCTCGGCCACCACCAAAGCTGGAGGCTGCGGGCTGTTCCGCCCGCCCCTCCCTCCGTGGGCCCGGAACTCCCTGGGTGGTGCCCGGCGCCGGCTGGCAGGGCCAGGCCGTCACCTGTGCAGCCACCGTGGGGGTCCCGGGGTGAGGGGACCTGGAGGCCACGTGGGGGAGGCCAGAGGCCCCTGAGCCTCCCCGCGGTTGCACCCGCGGCAGGCTCCCTGTCAGCCGGGACGGCGCCTCACAGTGTTTCCACCTGAGGTGGGAGGTTTTATTTATTGCCTTAACACTTTATTTTGAGGTTCTGTTCCTTCCCAGATTGAGAGGCCTGGGGGTCCAGCTCCCGGGGAGGCCTGGCCCCTCAGCCCGCCTTCCTCAGGGTGGTGGGGGAGGGCCGACTCGGCCTGTCTGAGCTCCTCCCCTCCCCTTGTGCCCTGGCACTGGTCAGGGCTCCGGCCCCACCCCCCCAGGTCCAAGCCGGAGGGAGCAGCCCTCTACCCCACATTCCGTTGCACTTACCCTCGCTGTGAATGTAGCCTCGGGCCTGGCCCACGCTGACCCCCAGCCCCCCACAAGTGGCATTTTCCTTTGTCTTTGTTTACACGTCCATGCACTGCCTCGGGCGCTCGCTGCCGCTTCCAACTTGTCTGGTAGAGCGTGTACACATCGACTCGGAGTCCAATAAATGACCCAAACGCCTCACCGTCCCCTGCCCTGCCACTGGCGTGCAGCTCTTTGAGGTGTGGTTGGTGGGGTGAGCGCACTTGGGGCCCTGGGTGCAGCCTGGCTGTGTCTACAGCCCTCCTGGGCTGGTGGGGGACGTGGCCCGTGCAGTCCCGATGGGTGGGCCGGCCGCGCACAGGCCTCTGTCCGCACCTGTAAGCTGCTTGTGCAGACTGAGCCACTGCTGGCTGGGATCGCACCGCCGGCCAGGTCTCCAGGTGCTTTCACGGGCACGTGGGCCTCAGCGTATTGGGAAGGGCCGGGGCCTCCCTGGTGGCGCAGCGGGCTGAAGCGTAGCACTGGGAGGCTGTCTGCAGCCGCCACAGCACGAGTTCGACCCCCGGCCAGGGAGGGACCCGCGGTGCAGCAGACCGCTCCTGTCTCCTGCGTGTGTTTCAGCAGACCCGCTCTGCTCTGCTGCCCGCTGTCTCTGGTGAATCCTCATACCCCCACCCACACACACATACCTCAGCTCTTGCACCCCAGCTCTTTACGCCCCCCCCAAAAAAAAATCACTTTGAAAAAACTCAGATGAACAGAAAAGTTACAAGAAACCCATTTATCAGACTCCCATGAACCAAGGCCGGCGCCAGACGCGCACCCTGCTACTCGCATTTCTTTCTGAGGCAGTTTGGGGTACACTTCAGGCCCGCACTCACCCCTCGACCCTGAGCCAGCAGCTCTAAGGTGCCAGGTGGATCCCAGCACCTGCGGCCGGAGCAGTGCCGGCTGCTCACCGGTTCCTGGACTGGGCACTCTGCCTGCTCCCCGCGGGCTCCATGGAGGCCGGAGGCATCTCCAGACCCCTCTGCTGGCAGGAAACTAACTGCTGCAAACAATTTCATTTCGCGTCGGCATCCTGAAACGCACAGGCCGGGCCCCGTCTCCAGTGAGCGGCAGGTGTGCGGCTGTCACCAGCAGCGCTGTTCTCCAGCACAAAACCCTGAGGCCCCTGTGCCCTCTGGCAGAGCCCTCCAGGCCACCCCAAACACCCCCCCCAACCTGCCACTCCTGGCCCTTTCCTGTAAAGGCCTCCTACACCCTGGGGGCCCTGTTGGCTCTCACACGCCAGCACTGTGCTGTCGTTTCTCTGTCCGGAGCGGTCAGCCACCACCGCCTCGCAGCCCGCTGTGGACTCGCTGTGGTTTTGGCTCACTGGATTTTTAGTTCGGATGGTTTTCACGCTCACGCGGTAACACGTTTAGCCAGCAGGAGCCCCTTCTTGTTGGCCCCTGGGTCCTCTTGACAAGTGCCCCCCCACCCCCCTCCCCCCGTATCTTGGGGCACTTCCTTTCCAGCATAACATGCTGTCCCAGGAAGCTGAGCGTCCCAGAGGCGGGGAAGGCCCTTGGGGCAGCCCTGGCCCATTTCTGTGGCAGACAGGAGATTTAGAATCAGCTCCCGGCCCCTCGGACTCCATCCTTGAATCGTCCTCTCCAGGATCAGTTCTGGGCTTGGCCACGGCACTGGCCTGGGCAATGGGGCAGAGCCACGTGATGCAGACAGGCTTGGAGTATCTGCTGTCCTGTGAGAAATCTGGCTGGGGAGGCAGCAGTGCCAGCGCACTGCCAGGTGTGGGGGGTCCCTGGGCCACAGAGGCCCAGCTGAGTCGCCAGCCACACAAGTGGCCCCTAGAACAGCCTGGTGACCTCTCCCACCATCCCAGATGGTCTGGAGGCACCAGGCTTTAGAACGGTTCGTTCCAAGGCCCACTTGGCGGTCCCAGGCTCGCTGTGATGAAGGGGAGTCCAGAGGGCGCAGCACCCCCAGTGTCAGCAGTGAGCTCATGGCCGCCCCAGGTCTCCAGAGCGCGCGCTGAGCGCCCTCTGCTTTGCCTCGGACTCTGCTGTCTGTGGTCATGTGACCGGGATCAGCACGGGGCCTCTGTTTACTTTCCCCTGGAGACCAAAGATCACAGGGAGGAGGCCAGACTCCGGCTGCCCCACACGGTCCATGGCTGTGAAGTGGCTGAACCACCGCTCGTCAGCAGCGGCTCATTTGTGAAACAAGCAGCTCCCAAGACGCAGCATGAGCGTGACGTGATGCAGGACCAGCCATTCCTTAGCCAGCATTTACTGCGCACCCACCATGTGCCAGGTGCAGCCCAGGCCTCAGTGCAGCACGCGGGACCAACCCACCAGCCAAGTCCACCTGCCTGTGCAAGGTCAGTGGCCTGAGAGTTGCCACAGGACAGGTCCCACCCCATGCAAAGCCACAAGCCACAAGCCAGGTCACTCTCAGTCTAGGTCATGAGCCTGACGCATCTCTGGGACCTGACGCCAAGGTGTTTGGAAGCCTAGGCCCTGACTTCCAGAATCTTCTTTCCTAGGAGACAGTGAATGGCTCCTCTCAGAGGGATGATGCCGAAAGCGTCACCTCTAGTTTGAGCCCATGGGTCTAACTGGCATCTTGGGACCTAGGAGTGCTACACAGCCCTCCGGGGCATTTACTGAGGGCGGTGTGTCAGCTGACAAGTTCCCTTCCTTCTGGGCCCCCAGGAACTCAAATATCCCCCAGGTCAATGACTGGACCTCTAACCTACAGGGCAGCAGCTGACACTTTTGGGGGAGACAGGCCCAGAGAGGGGAGGCCAGATAAGGGGTTACACTTGGTGCCTCTGGGCCTGGGACCCCCTGTGCACACTCCCTGCTAGAGGAGGGGCCAGTCCTGCCTGGCACAGGCGGGGCTCTGGCGGGGCCTGGCAGGTGGGGGTACAGCTAGCAGTTTGGGTTGTGGGTGGCAGGGTGGTTCGGGGCATTGGATGGCCCATCAGGCAGACCCAGCTTCAACTCCTAGAGATTCCAAGGGCATCACTGGCCCAACCTTGGCTTAGGGCGCCAGGGGGCTCCTCAGGGCATTCTCCCTGCACGGCCCAGCCCCTTGTCCGCAGGCCACCCTGACCCACCAGACCCGGCTCAGCCCTTGCCTCTCTGGAAATGCACCCACAGGATCCCAGACAGGCACAGGAGCTCTGCAGTGAGGCCACAGCCGTGTCACAGCACGAGCCAGGGAAGCAGTTGAGGGGCACCTCCTGGGGGTTCAGCTGGGACGATCTCCTGCATGGTGTTAGGACAGGCGGACCCTTGGGTGACTGACAGGGTGTCTGGGGCTCCCAGGGCCCTGATTCTTGATGGAGGGGCTGTTTCGTTTGTAAAACTTTATCGGGCTGGACACATTTGATTTCTGGCATTTCCTGTGTGAAGGTTAGATTTTAATTATGAAAGCAAAACCAAACCAAAACTCACACCACCGCCCATGCTCCGGAGCTCCCTTCTGGCCTCACCGCCTTGCCCATCTCATCCAGCCACATTCCTGCCGCAGGACCTTCCGCTTGTGCCTTTCCCATCCGGGGTGATGTCTTAAAGGCTAAACCCAGCAGGTAGATTTGGGAGGCTTGAACAGGTAAGAGTTAAGCACAGATAAGAGAATCACAAGGTTGCCCCAGTGACAAGGCCATAAAACCTACCACCGAGATCAGAAAAACCAGCCCAGCTCCAGAACTGCAGCAGCAAGACCAGGGCGTGTTTCTTTGTCAGAGGCCAGTGCCAGGACCAGGCTCCACAGTGGAGCCCCAAGTTAGAAGAGTCGGAAAGGGTCTCAGCTCCTTCCGGACGGACTTGGCCCTTCTCGCCTGCTGCTTCTCTTAGTGTCTTTCAATAAATCCCCCTTCTCCACCCTGCCCTGCCTCTGGTGAGTTCTTTCGCTTCCGCTTCTCTGGTCTCATCCCAGTATTTCTCCCCCCTACAGGTGAGTCCTTTGTATTTTGTAGTTCCTCAGCCTCCTCCTCTCCTGGGAACTCTCCTAAGGCAGAGAGACCAAGGCTCTGAGGCTTTGCTCTTTTTTTAAAGATTTATTTATGCATACAAGGTGGGGGGCGGGGGGATTCACCAGAGGTAGAATGGGGAGCAGAACAGGCAGATATACTGAAATACAGTGCGGAGCGGAACAGCGGGGAGACAGGAGAGGTCTGCTGTGCCCTGTGGGTCACTCCCTGGCTGGGGATCATCAAACTCAGTGGCTGCTGATAGCTTCATAGTGCTGCAGCTTAACTCCTTGCGCCTTTAGGGAGGCCCTCTGGGGCTTCTTCATAGCTCAGTGACATCCCACTGCCAGGGATGGGCAGTCAGCCAGGCCCAGTGAACTATTCTGGGAAACAGCCCACTTCTCTGACCTCCTGCTCCTCAGAAGCTAATGATGGCAGTGCCTGAGGAAGCTGCAGGCAGGTGACCGAGAAATGGGGCCAGCCGACCCAGACGAGCTCAAACAACACCAAGTACAGAGCACCCTTCACGCTGCATGGGTTTTTCCAGGCATGGCAGCAGCCACCAGTGTTAGAACTTGCGAGCACGTGAGAATGCAGACCCCAGGCTCTAACCCAAACCTACCGACCACCCCAGGGCCTGGTGGGAGGCAGGAACCTGCATTTTCTGCAAGTTGATCTTGGTGTTGTGTGAAGTCAGAGGACCATGGCTTTACTGGGGCAGGAAGCGATTCTGTCCAGTACGGTCAGTGCAGGGGGGTTGGGAGGGCGCATCTGCGGGAGCCCCGTGGAGGCCCCTCACCGGGCCATGGAAACCTGTTTCCGATACCTGAGCCAGCCTTGGCCAGGCAGAGTGGAGCAAGCGGGGTGAAGCAACGCAATCGCGGAACGGAATGGCTTTGGCAAAGGCTGGGAGAGGACAGGGCGGGCACTCCGCCTGGCCTGTAATTCTAGCCTGAGAAGAGGACAGAGGTGGGCGGGAAGGCGCGGCAGTTTCCCCAGGCCCTGGTAGGCGACTAGAAGGATGATTTGGGAAAACAGGTGTAGGCGGAAAACCCGTCTGCGACGAAAAATGTTCCCAGAATGCCTCATTAAGCAGTACCACGCATCCTCGTTAACCGGAGGAAGGGCGGACGGAGCCTTTATTAAGTGCCATTAAGCTTCCACTCCGAGCATCAGTGGAGCGCGCGGGAGCTCCCACTCCCAGCCACAGTCTGCCGGCTTTGGGTG